CGGGCACTCCTTCGGAAACGCCGGATCCCTGTCTCGAACGGTCGCGATCGACCGTGGCCTCCCTCCCCCCGGGCGACGGGCAGCAGTAGCTGTCGCGACGTTTTCGTAAGTAATTTCCGCTGCGATTTCCCGACGATTTCGGAGGTTTATTCGTGTGGCAGCTGGCGTCAGCGGAGGTGCGTCGGCATCTGCATGAAAGGCCTCGACTTCATCATCATAAGTGGCAACTGGCGTCGGCAGATCTACGTCAACAGTGCGCGAAGATTTCGGGATCGTTTGTTCGCGGCAAGTGGCGTCGGTGGCTCGCCGTCATCTTGTGCGCGAGATTCTCGGGAGGATCTTCGGCAGCTGAAGACAACGGGCCTGCGTCAGCATGGGCGACAATTTCGGAGGTTTCTACTGTGAAGAAAAGGGCAGCTCGAAGAACTCGCCAGGCGCAAATGGAGTTTTGCGTCAGAGGATCCCGACGGCTGGAGAGATAGACGCTCAAGCCGCCCGAATTAAGCGGGGTTTGAGTTTTATCCCGTCCGACCGGATAGTGCGGCGCTTACCGTACTGGCGGGCGAGTCGTCGACGATTTTCGGCAGAAGTGCTTGTGGACAGACGGGAACTTTGGACCCGCCGACACTTACGGGCTGCAACAGACAACGACGTGGCTGGATCGCACTTAGCAGGAGTGGGGCGCAGGCGCGAGGGCATATCGGGACTGAACACCCAAAAAATACTCGTTTGTTGCTGCGTGCCTGGAGCTGTTTGCCGGCTGTTCGACAGTTTCGAGATCGGTTTCCCCGTTCAAGGAAGCCGTTTTCGGGGACAGCCGCAACAGCCCACGATTAAACGGTGTTCAACGTGCCACCCCGACAATTTCGGAGTGTGGTGCAGGCCGCCGGGACACGCGTGAAGAAACTGCCCAACGGCTAAGCGGGGGTTGAAGAACGTCGTGGGGAGCAGATAAAAGCCGGTGGAACCGATCTGCGGCCCTACTTCGCCCGAACCTCACCATCCCCACCGATTACTGGTTCCGACTCATGCAGTCGACCTTATTCGGATGAATAACGGGGGTGAACACGAGCCTACCCTGCGCTGGTTAAAAGCACCTGGTTTGGTGCCCGTTCGACAGCTGTACAGAAAAGACAAAAAAAAGAGGAGTTGCGGCACTATTCTACTCCGACAAAAACGGGCTAGGTGAAACAGCACGCGAAAAAATCGGGGCGTCGCAGGACAACAATGGTGCAGTTCGCTGGTTTCCTCTGACTCGGGCGTCTACACGAGGTGACGACGAAGCGGCGAAGCAGGAACCGGGAGCAGTGGAGTTTAGTGGCGCGACGGGCACGATGGGCTGCAAAGCGTTTGGGACTGATTTCCTTTTAACTAAGGCAACCCCGACTCCGATAGTCTTTTCTTCTCCACCGTGGCTGGGTTCGTGCGGGCAACACTGACTATACCCCATCCGACAAAAGCGGACGCTGGGTGAACGGCGGGAAGCGGAATTGTCGGGGGGTGAAACGACCAAAAATATTTGAGCTGCGGGTATTTCTTCGCTTCTTGGAGTGCGGTTGAGTCGCTGGGGGACTTCGCCTGAAGGGCGCTTTTCGAAGTTGCCTGGCAAGAAACACAGCGGCAAGGATTCCTAGGACCCTTGGTGTTTAAACGCACACCTCGGGAAATTCTTCAAAAAAGGGAAGCGTGGGAGCAGTCGTAGCTTCGGAGACTTAACGGCCGGCGACGAGCGATGGGTGAAACATCTGCAAAGCGCTGGTGGGAGAAACAGGAATATTTGTTAAACGACATCATCGGGAGCAGCTTCGACTACGGAGGTCAACGGCGTTGATGCCACTAGGTTCCGTGAAATTCGGTCTCGGAAGACCCAGGGCAGTCCCCGGTTCTCGATTGAACCCACATGCTGGGGTCGGGTAAACTGACGGAAACTGATGGTGACCGGGCGGGCGGCTATAGCACGACCGAAGATTTCGGAGGCGAACTGCAACTGCAACAGCGGATTTTCCAGGGTTGATTTCGACCGACATCTTCGGAGTTTTACGTGGGGACTTACAGGGTTACGGCGGGAAGCGCTGACAATTTCGTGGGATTTCATTGGAGCTTGGTTAAACGCGAGCGGCAACGACGGCGGGCAACAGCGCGAGAACTACACGGATTTTCTCAGGGGTACGAACGACTTACGACGAACTGGAGGAGGCGGCAGCAACAGTGGAAGGGGGGAGAGACAGCTGTAATTTTTACATCTCTGCCCGGGAGTCATCGGCGGATTGCGACAAAATGCTCGGCGAGTATGGACAAACCCGCCGGAGGTGCTGACATCATCTGACACTGATTCGTGTTCGACAATATTTTTCGGAGTGACATTCGCTACGGTTACTGCTTCGACGACCATCGCCGACTCTCGATAAACAACTTCGCCTTCATCGCCTTCGATCGCCGACTTCGACGACACTCATAACACTCCTGATTTCACGGCCAAAGGGTTTCAGGACGGTTCCACTCCAACTCTACTAGCGACAAACCCATCCACTCGACCCGCCCACGACAACTGCATTGATTTCAACCACGTCAGGTGCTGCCAGCTGCAACTGCTGAAGATACTGCATGATTCTGGCGATGTGAAGACAAAAAAACTTCAGTTCGAGTACTCTGCAATTTTGGTTTCGGTTTCTGTCTACAGCCACGGGTTCGCCCTGGGAGATTTCATGGGCACGTAATACCTGGTTTTCGTCATCGAAATTTCCACACCGACACAGTTTCTTCTGGTTTCCTACGCTTAACGCTCGTCTCACTGGGAATTAACACCTGGTTTTGGTTATTTTCATCTCGGCGCAGCTGTTGGAACTTTTTTGGTGTGTTTCCTTGGGGGGGGGGGGGAGAAAGTGCGCTGCACTGTTTTCCTTCGGCGTTTTCTTCGGCACTGTTCTGACATTGTCAGAATGCAGCAGCACGGCAGACGGTCAAGATCGTGACAATGAAATCAACGTTTCTGAGCAGTCGCGCTTGAATTTCGCGTCAGACTGTTCCCTCCAAAATCGCGTCAGCCTTCGACCGTCAGATCGAACTTCGATTTCATCAACGGCTCTGTTTCCAACCTTCAATTCGAATTGGTCCAGTCCATCCTCATCCGTCAGATCGAAATCTGACTGCATCAACGGCCTCAATTCCAACCTCTATTTCAAATTCGCCCAAGGGATTTCAGCCGTCGGATTTAGCTGAAGAGGAGATCTTCGAAACCCTCGCTAGTGTGGGGCTTGTTTCAGTACAGGGTTGCCTTATTTGGAAGGTGGGAGAGTGTAAGGAATTACAATTCCTTACTGTACTCGCACTTTAGCGAGTACATCCCGAGGGTGTCGCGACGAACCTGCGATGCCTATTTCGTCGCACCGAACCACCCCCGAGTCGGCCTCCGCTCCAATCGTAGCCATCACCGAGCCATCCCATCCCGAACCCCCCGCCTAGCTAGGTTTTCCCCTATTTAGGCCTCGCTACTTCATTGTTCAGTCATTCAGTAGTCAACCATTCTCGTTATTCGATATCTGCGCACTCTGACAAGTTCATTCACAACAACTTTGGTCGCCTCTTGTTTTTTTTTTCAGCTCCCAATTATTGCACCTCTCAGGCCTCAACTCTACTAAGGCAACACTGTTGTCGTTACGGTGCTACATCTATGCAGACAGGCCGCATGTGTGTGTGTGCTATAGTGCCCGTTGTGTTGCTTGATGCGAGTGGTGGTGAAGTGTTGATTCTAAAAGTGATTGTGCTAGCATTGCTGGCGCATCTTAGCGCCGGTCCATCCGGGCCCTGGTGGGAGGAATTCCACCAGGTCCCCCTCCTGGTGGAAAGGCCTTTCCACCAGGGCTGCACGCGGATGCACGCTGTGTCGCGACCCCCAGCTGGGAAATGCACGCGAGCGGGAGTCCCCCGCCCGCCAGGAAGTCCCTAGCGAGATTCGGGCGGCGGAGTCAGCTGGCGGGGTGGTCCCGCGCCGAGCCCGGGCCACGCCAGCGCCACGCAGTGTGGTCCCCCCCCCCGGCCCAGCCCTGGCTCGCGAAACCCCTCGCGAATCCACTCGCTCTCCAATCCGGTGTCGAGGGCCCAACCCTCAGCGCGCCGAAACAAAACCAGCCAATCAGAGCCGTTCCCGAATGGTTTGTCACTCGGAGAACCCTCGCGAGGCAGCCCGCATGCGAATCCGCGCGTGCGAAAGGAAATTCGGGCTGGCCGAAACGGATTCGGCCAATGAGAGCAGGTTTCCGAGCGACGGGCGAATCGTAGACGACCCACGCCTGCGAAGCGGTACCCGTGGTGCCCGAAAAAGTGCAGGCCAATCGCCGTCGTTTACGAGAGTCGGACAGCTCGCACGAGCCTCGCGAACAACCTTTTTGCGAAAAGGATCTCGAGTCGAAATTTTAGGTACGGAGTGTACTCCATTGGAATGACTAATCGAAATAATTTTATATGCATCGGGGAATTACTCAGTTGCGCATGTACATGTAATATAACGGAGTGTAGTGCTGATTCGGGTGACCCGATGGTAACATCGGAACTCGGCGGACGCGACGAGGAAAATTCACTCCGCGAGAGTCGGTAACCCGCCCCGAACGGGTCTCGCGGAAGTTGGCTGCGCAAGCGTGCATGTTGCGGAACCTCCCGCCTTGTCAAAGTCGAAAGCGGCGCGGGTTGAGAGGCCCGCGCTGTTTGACCGCGAATGCCGTTTCTTGATTCCCCCGTGGCCCCCTCTTAGGTTCTCGGTAAGGGCATTTGGTGCTCATTTTCGTTCTCCTCATTTTCGTTCTCCTCCTTCACAACCTGTTTTCTTCCTGCTCGTCCGTTCCACGTAGCGGTCTTTCAAAACCTAGTGCAAGTAGAGACTCTGACTGACCGCGATGCGCGTGCTCGCGTGCATCTTGGTCTTTTTTAAACGCGAGCATCGTTTAGCGGACCGTGAATCCTAGATCCCCCGTACCTGTGGTCGCGCTCTTGAGGTGGTACCGGTGATGAACCGCGAAATGAAGGCGCTTAGAGCTGGGTCGATGGCGGCCACCTCCTGTCCGGCCAACATCTCTGTTGCGGGAGCCACGGTGGACCTCCCCCCCGATCAGAGGAAGCTGCTCGCTGATGACAAGCATCCGTTCACGGCCCGTTGGTTCGACTTCGTCGCTTGGTGAGATCCATGCATCCCAATTCCTGATTCCACTGTGCACGCGTTGTTGGTGGTCGCGTGGTATAGCATGATCGCGACATGTCCGCAGTGTGCACTAGTGGACTGTGCAAGGCGCGTCGTATTCCCGCGGTGCTTTTATGTAGCCTTGTTTGTGTCCGTGATTTCCCCCGCTGTGTTTTACCTCTTCCCGCACAGCGTGATTGTCCGGAGGTTTTTGGAGAAAGAGGTGCAGGAGCACGTCAGGGTCGTGACGAGCGATGTGGTCGCAGACATTGTCACGGGTCGCGATGAGGCTGTCAAGGCCTTTGCCGGTGTGATGGAGTGCAGCCTTGTTGCATTCTGCATCTGGACCAAGTGAGTGTTTATTTTGGAGTGTTCAGTGGTATTGTTTCTCGCACTCGATTACGTGCAGGGTTTACCCTAAACCCTGGTGGACAACAAGTGCTCGAACGCGAGCATGCTCCTTATGCTCCACCCAGATCACCTGTCGATTGACGGTGACGAGAATTGGCACACGCGATTCGTTCGCGTTGCTATTCCACCTGGTGGGCGGGAACACGTGACCGCGGCGGAGGCAATTGTGGAGTGAGTACCGCGTACAAGTGTACCATCTTTACCACGTTCAATACCGTTACATGGCTCCCGTCGCTAATTGTGCGTTCGCGTTGCTATGTTTGTGCGTATGGGCAGGTGGTTTCAGGGTCGCGTGGACGAGGAGTTTGCTCGCGGCTCCATTCAGTGCACCCAGGCGCGCTAGCTTCAGGATCCCAAGCGGCTGTACGATATGGTAAGTCTGTGTTGTTTACGTGTCCTCGTTGGCCGCGAGTAGTTGCAACCGTGCTAACAAAACCCGCGTTCTGATTCCCAGGACGCGACGTCGTTGAAGGGCTCCTGCGGCAACCTCGCTTGTCTGTTCGCGTTAGACAAGACCCTTGCTCCGTTGGACGCGGTTGCTGCCAATGGATCCGGGCCGCAATTCTCGAGGCCTACCGCGAAGACTCTGAATGCACTGCGGCATGACGCCCACCAAACCGCCGAAGAGCTCGCGTTCAACTTGAGCGTGGATTTGCCGCGACACAAGCACGGCGGTGAAGCTGAGGGGGCTGAATTGGGGAAGATGCATGAAGTGACAACGGGTGCGCGGGTTGCTGACCATGGTGTACTCGCTCTCACAGGTGCCGCTGGTGTTTCGAGCCGCGGAGGTGCTCGCGGCGGGACGGCGGTCCACGCTGATGACGATGGGGCAGACGATACCGCGACTAAGGGTGCACCCCGCGATGACGCTGACCGCACTGTGGCGCGTGAGGGGGAAGAGTCAAGCGAGGAGGAGGCGGAGGCACACGTGGTCGCGGCCGCGGCAGCCAACAGGCCCGCTACATCCGGCAAGAGCATCAAGCACCTCGCGCAGCACTTGGCCCCCGGTGCTGGAAGCGCGGCCCCGAGTGGTGAGGTCGCGGGCAAGAGTCCCGTGACATGTGCGCGTGATCACGCGTCCCTTTCCGCATTGCCCTCGCATAGGCTTGCTGCCGAGATCCTGCAGCTTGACTGCAGGCTTGCAGCGCAGGCGGAAGAGATCGCACGGCTGAAGATACGCCAGGAGTCGGGGGTTGGAGGGGTCGCGGTCGTGGGCTCCGAGGAGCTCGCGGCCGCGCTGTCTAATGCGGTTCGGTTGCTGGAGAGGGAGGCGAGGGCGCTCGCGCAGGAAAGGGCGGCCCTGCTGGACACGCGTAACTAGGAGGCGTTGGTGCTGGGGCGAGTGGACGCGAGGTTGGGCCAGCTGTAGGGGGTGGTGGCGGACTCCATGGAAACCGCTCAGAAGAAGTTGACGGACGAGGTTGCGCGGAAGATCGACAACATGTCGTCCGCGGTCTCAGCGACAGCAGAGCGGGCAATCACAACCAGCGGGGTCACGAACGCGCTGCACACCCTCATCGCGCTCGTCGGAGGGAGCCCGACTCCGCGCACCGGTACGGAAGATCCGGCCGCGACGGAGAATGCCGAGCCCGGGGATGCTGAGCATGGAAAGCGGGCGGCGGGTGCGAAGGCCGAGACTTAGCGGGGGGCGAAGAGGCAGAGGGTTCCTCAGGCAGCGGCCGCGGTGCGCCACCCGAGCGTGCATGACATCCTCAAGAACAAGTGGGGCGCTGCATCGCGAGACGCTGCACCGCCTGGTCAACCGGGGTCGAGCTCGCGCTCCATCCCACCTGGAGAAGCTGCACCCAAAGCACCGGGCCCTGCCGGGGCGACCGCGACAGTGACAACCACTGCGGGTAAGGGCAAGGGTAAGTTGGAGGATGGAGAGGTGCCGGCCGCTGTGGGTTCGCTTGCAGCGGGGCGTGAGGAGCAGTCCGCGGCGGCTGCTGCGGCGGAGGGAAGGCAGACCGCTCTCGCACCCGCTCATCCCGCGATTACCGCGGGTCATCTGCACAGCGCGCTGGCATCTGCAGGTCCGAGCGCTGCCGCGGGAGAGGCCAAGACGGAAAAACGCGGGCGAGGCAAGAAGTTGCCCCCTCCACCCGTGTACACCATCGACAAGGACGATGCGGACGAGGAGCTCGAGAATCTCGCGAGCCGGTGGGTCGGGGAGGAGGGCGACGGAGGAGAGCAGGGTGTGGTGGACGCGGTCGAACTTTTTAGCGGCGGGGAGAGCGCGGACGAGCAGGACGCAGACACCGTGGTCGTGCCCAGTGGGCCAACGGGGGGACAGGGTGACACAGTCAGCAAGCGCAAAGGCTGTGGTATCCGCCATCCTCCTAGGGGCGGTCCTGGCTTGGTTTCTGAACCGCATCTGGGGGGGAAGAAGCGGTGGCTTGGACAAGGCGAGCGCGACGACCTGCAGTACAAAACCGCGATCGCGATGATGCCGTACGACCTGAAGGTGGATCCCGGGCTGCACCTCAGCTCTAAGCAGATGCGGGAGTGGGCCGCGGACCTGTCCGCTGCCGAGGGGCTACACACAAGCCTCCTCATCACCATGCATCACCGCAACCTCGTGGCCAGCAGGGAAAGGTGAGCGGTACCATCTCACATTCATCTAGCGCGTTCATACTGTCGTGTATGTTGGGGGTGGGGGGTTGGTTTATCGTGTTCTGGCCGCTACACCCACTGCGTGGCAGGTGGACCCGCATGTTCAAGCACTACCGCGAGCTGACCCAGCCCGGATCGACCACCACCAACGAGATTGCATGGGCCGCGGTGGTGGGCACGGAGGCTGCAGCAGAAGAGACGGAGCTCTACCGCGATGTGGATCCGAGGGATTACGCGGGAGCGATCGCGTGCGCGATCGCAATGGTGTGGGAGGTGACGTGCGGTTCGGCGGTCTCGACCGCGTCGGATTCTGGCAATTTGGCCGCGCGAGCGGTTAACTGCCAGAGGGATCGATGCCGTCTGTTCCCCGTTGTAACCGCGTACGTCATCAGGGCTGTGCGGCGGCGCAATTCTCGCGAGAAGCAAGCTGGTGACGAGGAGCCGAAGGTAGTCGCGGATCCGAGGGTGGTCGCGGACGCGATTGCATCTGAAGTCGTGAACGACGTCGTCGCCAAGTCTCGCGACCTCAGGCACATTGAGATGGCTGCTCGCGAAACGGTGGACGTTATCATCACCTGGTGCGACTGCTCGGTTGCGGGGAAGGTCATGGAGTCCATTGGGCTTTACCTTGCCCTGCCCAAGGATCGACTAAAGAAGCGGACTTGAGTGCGTGTAGTGTCGCGTCGCGTGTGCGCAGCCTGTCCACCCTGCTTGAGTTCTACTCGCGGTGGATTGTTGTTCATGTTGCGGACATGTGTGCATGTAGTATATCGTGTGTGTTTGTGTGTGTGTATTAGCGTGAGAACATAGTGTTGACTTGGATCATAGTGTTTCAATGGGAACCACACACATGTCGTACGTTGAACATTAGAAAACCATTGGTCCACACTCTTCTACATTACAAACACAGACGCGAAGTGAGCAGCCTGACAAACCATGTCCCGCGGTCGCGATCTCACGCACTAAGCTAGCGGAGGCATCTGGTCACAGTACTGAAGCCACGCGACCGGAAACTCAGACGCGGGAAGCGAGGCATCGATGAGGCGGTCGCGTACAAGCATCCATTTAACCCGCAACTGCACCTCCGCAGGGGTACCCTTCTTCAGCTCGCTCAGCGACGAGTCAACACTCTTCTTCTTCACCGCGATCCCTTCCGACACACCCGACATGCACACAGATCGGGACACGAGGTCGAGTTTCTCGAGCACGACCGCGATGTTGTCTCCCTGCTCCACCCTGCGGGAGATGAAGTCCATGACTCGCTTCACACGGTTTATCGCGTTCTGGGCGGCGTTCTGGCCGCCCTTCTCCTTTCCCATGAGCTCGGCCATTCGCGTAACTGCACCACGGGGTTGGGCCAGTAGCGACTCTGGACTCTCGCCTACCAGCGCGTGCGTGGACTTGTACAGCTTCCATCCGTCCGACGGCTTGGTCGCGTTCACCCATGGTTTCATGATCGCGTCCCGAATAGTCTCATCCCTGGTCGGCTGTGCTGGCTTCTTACGCGTCTCCTGGTCGGTGGGGGTTGCGGCATTGGTGGGCGCGGCCGCGGCTCCAGGAGTGTTTGCCGGTCTCGGATCCGCGGTCGGCCCTGAGCTGCTCACGGTGAGACGCGACAGCTGGGCTTCCAGGTCGTTCACGCGCTCGTCCTTCTCAGCCAGCCTCCGGTCGCGATCTTCCAGCAGCCCCTCCAGCTCTTTCACCCGTCTCTGGATCGCGGCCAGCTCTACGGCCAACCTGGTGTTGTCCGCTTGTGAACGTGTCAGGTACTCAGTGAGGCAGGCCACTTGGTTCTGCGCGTCCATCCTGGTACTGACCTCCTGCATACACAGAACGCGAACGCGTAAAATGTGATGGGTACGCATTGACATTACAGCCGAACTAGTAACGCGACCACACAGTACGCACCGCGGGCTGGGTCAGTGTAGGGGTGTTTCGCTGTACTATGGCCAGCTGATTTGCCAAGGAGACATCTGCTGCCCACCGCGCAAATTCCTCTGTCTGGCAGAGCGGGTTGTTGACCACGTACGGGTGTCGCGGCTGGTGTATGTAATACATGGCCAGGTCTTGTGCGACCGCCATTCTAGCCTCCCCATTCAGCTCCTTCAGTATGTTTAGACCCGCGGTGTCCTGCTTCTCCGGCTTCTTCTCTTTGACCATCTTGCTGTTGTAATCATGGCACTGTGCAACACAACAACGCGATAGTTTAGGGGTTTATGTGGAATGATCGCGGTGTGTTGATACTACTATGCGCGGCCCACACCCACCTGTTTCTGCCCTTTGTCCTCGGCGCCCCATGGGAAGATGTGCTTCTTCATCAGCTTCTCCAGCGCCTCGCTCGGTGGAACTGTTGCGCGACCCAGGAAGTAGTCACCATCAACCCCTGTGAAGCCAGCCTTCAGGAGCACGGCCTCCCTCGGAATAGTTGTGAGGTAGTGCTTAGTTATGACGTCGATGAAGCGCCACCCCCCCAGTCTCGCCAGCTGATCCGACGGCATTCCGTATGCGGCCGCGTGCTGAGCCCCTCCAGCTCTAGTCGCGTGAACGACACGCGAGCATGTGATTCCCGCGTCCCCCAGAATCTTCGCCGCCCAGTCGTGATGAGTCGTGGGCGGTATCTGCTTCTCGGTGCCCGCGCGAAGGGGGAAGAAGAGGTACTGGTCGTACCACGTCGAAGGTTCCGTGAAGTCGAGAGGGGGGGCTATGTCCCCGTAGAGGATAGGGACCAAGTCGTACACCCAGTGCAGCCATAGCAGCGTGGCTCCGACCGCGCACAGAGTCCAAACAATGTGTCTCACTGCCGAGATGTAGTTGAGCGAGAAGTCCTTGTTTGTCTTGCCCGTCCTGCACGCGCACACAAACGCGAACGCATTCCGCACTGGATCCGTCTCGGATTTTGCGCCGAGCTTCCACATCATCATGTCTGGAAGCTGGAGGTTTCGGATCGTGCACCCGCGAGCTAGTGTGTGATGACCGAGGACCGTCATCGTCCTGATGCAGAGGTCGCGATGCATTGCCTGCGTGTACTGTTGCTTGGCTAGTGTGAAGCTGCTCACGATGGCGGCCATGCTGGTTTTCCGCATCATCTTCTTGAACTCGTCCGGGTTGTACGTGTCCGCGGCCGTGCCCCGATGGCGATCCATGTGTTCCCTGCATCAAACCAGTTCCACGATTGTGAGCCTCTGTATGAACGCGGTAAACTCGGACATTCGCGTTCACTGAGTACGTATACTTACGCGATGAACCGCTTGTACTGGTCGCGGACTTGAACGCGGACCCAGATGCGACACTCCGCAAAGTCGCGCAGGAGATTCAAAACCGGCTTCCTGAAGATGGCCCCGTCCAGCTTGATGAGCATGTTCAGAGCCTTGAGACGCCCCATCAGCATTGCAGGGGAGCACTGGCGTCTCTTCTTCAGGGTCTTGTCGGGCCGCTTGAGTGTGGCCATCCTGTCCGCCTGTGCGACCGTCTCGTTCGCGAGGAAGGTCACGTATTTGCGTAACCTCCACGGATTCGTCTCAGGGCCGTAGAACCACTGCTCGTCGCCCTTCGCCATCTTCCAGTCACCACCCATGTCCTGCTCGAGCGCGGCCCCGATCTCGTCGGGGTTCGCGTTTTCCAACGCGGCCTCCTCACCGAACCTATTCGCGTCCAGCTTCGGCAGCTCGTGCGCCATGAAGAGCTTGTACTCTCTTGCCCAACCGCGATATTTCTTCAGCGTGGCTTCAGAGACACCGTAGAGGATGCCCATGCACACCTCTTTTTTCGCGGCCGGCGTGTCGTCCACACCAAGCCGGTTCCAATCCGCGATGGGAACCTCCAAATCCGTTCGCGTACCCCGCACTCGTTCGTTGTCTTCCTCCTCCCCCTCGTTGAGCGCGGACAACGAGTTTTCGTCATCTTCATTCCAACTATCTTCCTCATCTTCAGCGTCCTCCTCGTCATCCTCATCGCTTTCCCCCTCGTTACCCTCTCGCGATCCGAGGCGTGCCGTGTGAGGCGCGACTTCGACTCGCCGCCTCCTTACTTGCGGTCTACTGACTGGGACGTTCCCGGTACCTCCGGTCGCGTTACCACCGATATCTCTGCCTCCGTTGCCTAACACCCCAGGCGCGCTCCGCCCGTTCGCACTACCTCCGTTCCGTCCCACACCGGTCCCACGTCCTGCGTTCGCTCTCCCACCCCTTCCTCTAGCACCTCTCGCACTCTCACCTGTCCCTCTTCCCGCGTTCCCTCTCGCAACTGCACCTCTTCCTCTTCCCGCGTTACCCCTTGCACCAGTCCCTCTTCCGCTTCCCGCGTTACCACCTGCACGCGCTCCTCGTACCTCGTTCCGGGCGTTCGCCTGTGGTTGTTCACCTTCACAGTTCTCGTCCGCTGCTGTCGGTTGCGCGGGGGTGCGGATGTGGACGTCCGGGTTTCCCGGCAACAGCGAGTTCACATTCCAAATTGGCGGCGAATGTGCACGCGCGCTGGCATTCATCCCCGCTCCAACATTCTCCGCACGCACTGAACCATCGGGAACCGCGACCGTCGAAGGGCCGTCTGCACGCGCAGGGGTGTCCACACCCATCTGTAATGGTTCTATGCGGTCACGCGGGGCTTGCACTGGTGCCTGGATTTCCGGTTTAATCGCGCTGGGGAATGGGGTTGACGGCGCGACCGGAGGCGTCGCGACAGCTTCGGGCGCGTTCAGCATGGGGTCTGGTTGAACGCCGATGTACCCGTACCTGAATCCCACATTCCCGTACTGCGGCCCTACGAAGCCACGCACGGGCATCCCAAAGAGCTGGCTTGAGGGCATGGACGCGTACGCGGTCTGGTGTTCAGCAAGCCTTTGTCTGGGATGCAGCGTGGATACTCCACGGGAGTTCAAATAATCCTGCTGGGCATGGAACGCGACCGTCGCCGATGCAAACGGTATCTGTGTCCGCGGTGCTAGGTGGAGCCCGTTGACCAGTTGCTGTGGGTGAAACGCGGGCAAACGCGTGCCAAAAACCACAGGCTGCACGTGTGGGGTGCTCCATGTGGGGATGTGCGCGTGCATGTTGGCAACGGGAGCGCTTGGCGGATCTGCATTATGGATTTCGGCCGCGGAAGGAATAGCCGAAGCATTGACGGAGGCTTCAAGGATTGGCGCCGCGACGTGATTCACGGTATGCATGCAACGTGCGACATTGCCCCTACTCCTATAAACCGCGTGCGTCAACATGACGCGCGATCGCTAATGTGACAACCGGGTGTGAAGTGTACTCTGTACGACGCGACCGTGGTGCTCACTGGCTCTCGAACGCGGCCCACATCGCTAACGCGACACTAGTGTCCCGTTTCCCGTCAAGTCAGGTGACTCCAGTGTGGCATGAGAGGGAGGAGCCTGTGGTGCAACTGGCGTGCGGAAAGCGAAAATGTGGGCATGCTGGGATTAATGACCGGCCACTGCGTGGACGTGCATGACACGTTACTGCGATCGCGGCTCGACCAAACAGCGACAGCTGTGTGGCTCGTTCAATGTGCTGCACGTGTCAGTCAGCATGGAGCCTACCAGATCGCGCCAAGTGTTTCCGAACCGGGTGTTGCATCGCGTTTCCCAAGCCTATCGATGGGCGAATTCGGTTCGCGATTTGATGCGAGACTTCGCACCCAATGGTAGCACTCCTCTTTTTCCCGATCGCGCAGTTGCATGCGCGGAATGCCCTGCCTGTCAAGGTCTGTTGACCAATCGCGTTGGTTTTTTCCCGAGTCGCGCATGCATCGGCGCGTAAGAACGAGGTGGGTTCTTTCGGTTTCTGGGGGGTCGCGGAGCTTTCGGTGGAAACCTGGTGGATTTCACTGAGCCACGCAGGGCTGCGCAAGGTCCAAAACTGGTGGATTTCTGGAGGGCCGACTTTGCCTCACGCGTCCCCCGATGTCTCCGCGCTCCGTGCATCCCAAGGGGTGGCCGGGGTTTTTCCCGAGCCGCGCCGTATGAACATCCCAAATTCGCACATCCATCTGGGAGAAATTCACCACCAATCAGATTTTGTTGAAAATGAATCCCAACTGTTCCCAACTCGCTTCGGAAAAATGTATGACGGCCACAAAAAATAAAGAACTCTCTGACTTGTGAAGACAAGTGGACCCAACTAGAAGGGGGGGGTCACTATTTTAGCTGCTGGCTTTAACGGGTATGTTTCCCTTGCAATGCACTGACCAGCCACTTCTTTGGCCGCGGGTGCATGCACCAAGTTTACAAGCCTCCGTTGCTGGCTCGAATCCCCTCAAGGGTGTACAATCTTGCTTCGTCACCTCACCTCACCACACACAACTCACTCTAATCTGGGCAAGACCAAAGGGATTTCCTCAACCTTCACCTCCCCCTTACCACGCCACGCATCACACCACGAATAGATCAACCGTGCTTTGAGCAATCATTCAAAGCACGATGCATCGCGGACACCACGCGGTTGCTTGCGATTCGTCGTCGCCACGGCGCGAGCCTTCCTCAGATGAGCCGTTCCCACATTCTCCCATGTACGAATAGAAGCCAAGCACGGTACTGTACACTAGGGCTGGTGACAGAATGAATGCTCACTATAATTGAGGGCTGGCTGGACTTATTACTGTACCGTACGGACCTTAAGTAGGTCGGTGGCGCTTGGAGCGAGTGCGAGGAGAGACTGCGAGAGAGCCGCCGCTCAGAATGCTGTGGATTGTGGCTGGCAGGAGAAGTAGGAAGCGATGTGGCGTCTTGCTTTCTCCCCTCTCGCCTCGTTTCGAGCTGGTCAAACCTTGCACCGCATCATGTCGACCTTCGTTTCTGTACCATCGCGCGTACTGTGCGCCTCCCTGCTCCGCGTACGCCCGCGCTTGAATGAAATGCGGTGGCGCGCACGGCGAGCGGGGAGGAGCCACGCGGCTCAGCCGCAATCTAGAATCCAGGTTCCCTGGGAAGCAACGGACCTAGGCTGAATTGTTTGACCAGATTCACACAACATACCGCGACGTCGGTTCGTAGTGTGCGAGTGCGAGGACGGAGTACAGTCGAGGAGCAAGGACCGGAGTAAGGGGAGCGGCTACATAGAGAAAGTGATTTGTTTATGAATATCTGGCACCTCGACTGAACACGCTTGGCATTGCTTCACGGTACACTCGCTAGAAGCTCAGTGCTCCTCGCACGCACCACGAAGTGCCTCCACTTGCTCCTTGCACGCACCTTTCCTTCACCGCCGCACAAAGCCTGGATTCGCGAAGCCCGTGCTTGGCGGTTCGAACACAGATCTGAGATCACGCGCGGCGGTTAAGGACTGTCAGGACTGACACAGCGTGTCTATCGCCTAAGCCGTGCTTTTGAGGTGTCTCGGAGCAAGCGCTTAATGCTAGGCAGGGCTGAAGTATAGCTTCTATCACCTAAACCGTGAACCTCTGTCAACCGACGCCTGAGAGCGTGCTTTTTGGAAGATTGTAGAGCAAGGTCAATCACCTTACGAATACCTTTTTTTTTGGCGAGGTGTATCTGATCGCTCAGCGATTCCGACAACAATAGCCGCCTTCCTTCTGCTGCTTCGCACAACCGTTCGGCGCCGCAGCGTCGCAGCGCCCGACTCGAGGCGTGTCTATAACCGGATCATCCTTGAAGCCCCGCAAACCTCGCTTCTCGCCATGGCTCGCTCGCTTCCTGCCTTCGCCTTCGTGACTGCCGCGCTTCTCATCATGCTCTGTACGTCTGGCTTCCGCTTGAACCGTCTGCTCTCGCCTGGTTGCGTTCGTTGCTTAGTCGGCCTCTTCCTCACGCCCATCTATCAAAGCCTTTCCAAGGCATCACTTGCGGTTCGCTGATTCTCTTTGGCCTCGTGCTGCCTCTATTGAAGTCTGCGGCTTCGGCTCCTCTCCCGCTCCAGTCCTCATGCCGTATCACTTTCGGATGCTGTTTAGCAACACACTCATACCCACCTTCTTCCTGTCTCTCTGTGCTTCCTTCCCTGTCTTCTGTCCTCCTTCACTCCTTGTTCCTGTGTTTCCATCTCTTCCTGCTTCCCTGCTTCCGTCCCTCTCTCATTCTCCATGCTTCCTCTCCCCCTGTTTTCTGTGCTTTCCTCCCCCCCTGTTCCTCTGTTCTGCCTTCTCTCCCCACATCTCTGTGTTCTATTTCCCCCGTTACCCTGTGTTTCCGTTTCTCCCTTTTTCTCATGCTATCCTCGCGATCCATCAACTCGGCTGAATGACATGAATCCTCTCTGGCCTTCAGGCGCAGCCCAAGCAGAGGTACAAATTCACTCCCCTGCTAGACTGTCCTCTTCGACTCATAATCTGCCTTTTAGATCCCTTCACTAATAGGGAGTATGCCACGACAAGCTAATTTGACATGTTTCTGGTGTGTAAAACATATTGTAAAACCAGCCATTTTCGTTGCGGTTCATTTCAGTATTGGCCACTTCGTCGCATGTTTTGTATGCATTTGCGGCGTTGCCTTCTTCCCTCGTGGCCATCCGTTTCAATGCATGTTTCCTTGAAAGCATAACGCCTCTCTCCCCGTGCCGATCCCCTGATGCCCCTCAGGCTAGAGCCATCACCGTGGGTGGCAGGGGGCGCAGTCCCTGGCGCTACAACCTGCACAACTGGCGCCCCTCCACGGCTGCTCGTGTAGGCGATGTGCTTGGTACGTCTCCTTGTCACCTTCCTGTTCCTCGGAATGTTGTGTGCTCGGCTCCCTCCCGAAAGCAGTGAGCTTTGAGGCATCTCATATGCTTGAATGTCCCCCCTTATACTCTACTACTGCTCATGGCTTGTGACTTGTGGCTCGTGATATGTGGCTCGCGAGCCATCACCATGCATGTGCTATCCTCTCACCATCTGTGGCACATAAACGCACCTGCAGTGTTCAAGTGGAGGGGCGTCGTTCCACATGATGTGGTCCTCTTGGACTCAGCGCATGACAGCTGTAGTGCCTTTGCTTCTGCTCCTCTCTCACCATCTGTGGCACATAAACGCACCCGCAGTGTTCAAGTGGAGGGGCGTCATTCCACATGATGTGGTGCTCATGTACTCAGAGGACGCGTACGAAAGCTGTAACTTGGGAGCTGCTAAGAAGCTCACACGGATCGTCAACTCCAAGACGTACAGGTGAGCATACCATCTCCCTGCCAGCTTGAGTCATTGCGTTGGATGGCTGGAGTGGCTGAGCTTTGTTGGGCAGTGGACTGCCTTGATTGGGTTAACAGTTTGGTTTCTTCTTTGATATAGAACGCCTGACTGCTACTTGTGCTGCTCACGTTGGATTCTCTCAGGTACAAGGTGCCGCAGTCGGCAAGGGGCCAGACCATTTACTTCTCCTGCAGTGTGCCTGGCCACTGCTCGCCTGGCAACATGAAAGTGGCCATTCAAGTTCAGGCATGAGATGATGCACTTTGTGGGATGTAGACTACCCAAGGAAATGCTTGGTAGTAGTACAATTAAGGCTGGTGTACATAGTAACGCTTTTAGAATATATATTTTTTCAAGTGACTACACTTTCCTCACGTGTCCACATCCTGAGGTGCCCTTTTGGGAGGGCGAAGTGTTTCTAGTGGGAATGCCGAATTGGCGGGAAACGAACTCTACAGAACAGTGCTGTGACTGAAATGAAGAATGTTTCCAGAGTTGAAACACGATTTACATTTCGAGCGAACCGCAACCTTGAGAATGCTCTTTCCACTCCCTAGGAGAAACCTCGATAGTCTCCGCTTGGCTCGAGTTGTCACTCTGCGTGGCTGCAGTCTCTTTTCTGGAATATACACGTCTACATGCTTCTTAGGTTCTCGTGCG